AGAGCTAGGTTCAAAACTTGCTGTAGGGCAGAAGTGAAAAAGTACTTGGTGGCCTCATCCTTGTCCCTAGTAAACATTTGCAGCTGCAACTGGCCTACACGAAGGGTGATAGCCTTTACCTCTGTCATTCACACAGCCAGCCGAAAATTTTGAGTGGTGCCTCTTTGGCCAGAAATGAGATGAAAAATATTGGGTGCAGAAGGGTCTATGGCAGTTCAGATTTAGACATCTAGGAGAGGCAGCTGGAATTGGGCAATTGTGAGCAGAGGGTTAGGACCAAATAGTTGGAATCTGACATTTGGATTAGAGAACATGGAGAATGTTCAGATCAGTATCCATTCACACTGGTCAATGAGGTGGTGCAGTTGGGAATGGGAAGTCAAGAACGGCAGTTGAGATGTTGGAACAGGGCATTTAGGAATGACATTCGTAACTGAGCAGTTTGAGAGGAGGAGAAAATAAGATAGTGTAGAGAACCCCTTAAGGAGAAGAGTGACAGGGAATAATGAGAGAGAAAAGGTTAATAGAAAACTAGAGTAATGTTTGAGAGAAACAGCACCAAACAAGAAGACATGAGAGAAATAGAGAGCAAAAGAAAAGAACAGAGGACAAAAATGAGAAGATAAAGAGACTAAGAAATTAATCTGAAAAGGTAAATGAGCTCCTGCATTTTGTTGTACCACACTGAGGTGTAGGAAAGTTTTGAATTGGTGCCTGACCTGTCTTATTACAATATGAAAGCGAAAACTATACTTGATTCCAAAATGAGTATATTTTTATTTCCAAGATAATTAATTTGTTCTAGTGAGGCATTCATAGCTGCTGTATCATGTGGATGTTTGATAAATATGGCTTGGAGTTTAGCAGTATTACCAGAGGATGTGACTTGGAGACACCCATCCTTGGTTACAAAATCATCACACAATTTGCTGTGATGGTCAGCCTCAGTTCAAGGGATGCCCTGGACTGTTATGTCAGGAATGGCAAGATCAAGGTGCAGTTGTTCAGGCCTGGGTGTGGAAAATCTGTACAGCAGCTGTCCTTAGTAAGGGACTGCACCCTGCCAAACTCTTGCTCATATAAATTAATCCTCACTCAAGCAAGCAGTCCTTTTGAAATCAGCAGAACTGCTTGCATAAATTCTTTCAAAATCAGGCTCTGTGTGATCTTTTCTCCAGAATTTATATCCTCAGTTTTTAGTCCTTTCCCCATTGATTTTATTTGTTAAATCTTACAATTTTTGTTTCTCTCCTCTGAACTCTTAGGCCAGTCACTTAGAAGCAACATAGAGGGTTAATGCTTAGCTAGTAAAATTGTGCAGGGTGCATTAAGCAAAACAGTGTGGTAGATTTACAATGGTATAAGCTAAGCTTAACTCTAATAAGAAAAGACAATTTTAAACTTGGTTTATTTGGATGCTGATTTTAAAAAATCTGCTACATTTCTCTTTGGATTACAGTAGCCCGCTAGGAAAAACTATTCACTAGTTTACATTTGGGGTCACATGTTTTCATTAGAGCACAATGTTTCACACAACTTTCATATTCTGATAGATAGGGCTGCACAGCCTGGTAAGATCTTAGGCAATTCTACTATTTAACAGTGCTATGGTGCTTGTCTGAACAACACAGAACCTGACCAAATCTTCAGAATGAAATAATCTAGTGAAATTTTAAAAAACTTGCCAACACTTATACACTACCAATATATCATTGTCAAATCTACAGTTTATTAATGTAAATATCAATATTAAACCCATATAAAATGAGACACACTGATGAGCTTCTGCTTATGAAAATCTTTGACCAAATTCTCTTTTATACGTGTTGACATCACTAGGGTTGCACAGATATAAATGAGAGCAGACTCTCACCTCTTGGTTTCACATATTGAGAGCCATAACTGTAATTCAAAAGCGGATATAATCACAATGTACTTTACATCTGTAGCAGGGAAGTGACATCTCAGAGCTGTGTGTAATTTGTACATTAATCCAGTTTATCTTCTTACAATTCTAATTGCAAAAATTAAATCTATTCTACATATTGAAAATGGGCACCCCCATGAAGCAGTGACCACTTCAGTTATGTCCTGGCACATCCCTCTTGTTAAGGCACTCCTCTCTCACCCACTATCGCGTCATCCTGCAGCCATCCCCCCATTCCCTAGTGCTGACACCCGATGCCTCCTGCAGTTTCTGGAATCAAGGAGACTGAAGAACATAATGGAGGAATACAACCAGATCATCACCTCCAGACCGGTAGAAGATCTCTTTGTGGCTTGAAAGCTTATCTCTCTCACCAAAAGACATTGGTCCAATAAAAGATATTAACTCACCCTCTTTGTCATACCGTTGACAATCATTTCAGTATTTTGAATGGTCTGTTCCATTCAAAACTTTTTAAAATGGCTTTTTCCACAAAGATAAACTACTTTCATATAAAAACATACTGTATTAGTCCCTATGAATCATTTCTTCAAGGGGGCCAGGATAGGACAAGTGATTGAATAGTTAGTCTGTTGATGGCATTATCCTTTAGAAAAGTGCCCTGGCTCATGTCCTAAATACATCACTATAAAAGGTGCTTGTTCAGCAGTTGACCTTTACAGTAACACAGACTACTTGTTAGCCATACAATGTTACACTTGAACCCCTGGCTGCTCAAATCCTCAATAGTTGTGAACAAGTCAGGATTTGCACAGATGTGTGGATTTATGCCCACAAACCCTAAATGGTGTGTACACAACAGATTGTATATATGCAGTTCCTGTACATGCCATAGTACATGCATGCATCTAAGAATTTAAGCCTTGATGTGTATCTATTCACAGAAGTGGTAGCACTTCCTATTATTAAGATTACTCAACACTTCCCATTATACAATCCTGGATTCTGTTGCTTTTAACTTTGTCAAACTTCACTGTTTGGATTGTAAATTTTCCATGCCAGGTGTCTGCCTTGGGCTGAATTTTTCTGGAAAATTTCAGCCAAAAGGTTCAACTGTTTCTGAGAGCAAGGCTAGGGGAAAATATCTTGTTCTGCCCACTTTCAAAAATTCTGGTGACCTTTTCTTTGGAAAGCTCCAGTACCTCTGTGCATTGGAGCAGGGACTTGAAATTTAGCAGAGGGGTATCTTTTGTGTCAGGAATATTTTATTTGTTGATCCCGTGAAGATCTTCCCAAATTTGTCCTAGTTATAAGCCTTGGGAAATTGCACTTTGCACATGCTCAGTAGAGGCATCGATTTTAGTAGTTAAATTCCCAGAAGAATCTGTCTGCACTGAGCATGTTGCAACAATTGAAACTGTGGGCTGCTGTGGGCTGTGCAGGATGTATGTCTGGCCCCAGAACTGAAAGCAGGGAGACTGTCTCTCCTGTGCTATCAATGATCCTCTCCCCCAGCTACCTTAATTTTGGCATTTCAAAACTTTTGACTGCTTGACTTTGAAACCTTAATAATGTTCTTTTAACAGATTTTTGTTAATACTGTATTTATATTATAGCTAATTAGATATTATTGACCAAATTGTTGGTAGTCATAATAGTAATATCTTACTTTAAAATGGCACTTGTCATCCAGAAGAATTGACCATAGGATACTACAGATTGTGTATATATAAAAGGATGAAAACCATTTGTGCAGGATTCTTATTCTTGTGCTCCTTAGTGCAAGACAGATAGAACTCATTAAGTTATAAACTTTAAGGTCTCTGAGGACTTCAGTTGTGGGTCAGGGCATAAGCCAAGCCTCCTGTTAAGGTGACTGTGCCACTCAAGACTAAAACCACCACTCTTGAAACCTTCCAGTCTGCATTTTCTTGACAGGTCAGTAAAGGAGCTCTCCACAGGGTATGTGCTTTGCGTCTTTTCTTTATCTTGTCTGTTCTTGACAGCATCATGAATGGACAAGATAAAGGGGCCCTCCCACCATCTGGTCAGATCTGGTTCTTTTTTATTATTATTTTTTTTTATGTGGCTCTTTCATTGCCACTGGTCTGGGAGTGCCAATCTCTGGAGAGCTCTGGAACTTAGGTCTTGGGGCCTGATTTTTACTTTCACACTCACATCAGGCCTGACATACTCATTGCACCAAAACATCGTCATTATATATATCTCAAAGGTGTAATATAAGGCAGTGGTTCTCAAACTTGTTTTTTCGTGGACCACTTGAAAATTGCTGAGGGTCTCGGTGGACCTAATTATCTTTCTAAATGTTGTTTGTACTGTTAGCTATTGTAAAGCACTTTGGATAAAAGCGCTATATAAAAAACATGTAATAATAGTGTTTTTTTGTTCTATAAATAAAAGCACCCAACTCATATTTTAATATCAGTAGTCTTACCTTTC